TTTTATATATTTATAGATTAATTGCATATATTAAAAAGTTAACAATCATAGTGTTGGAAATTAATCATGTTGTTTTTGAAACAAAAGATGATTGTCATTTTCGCTTTCCCACGTGTCAGTTTATTTAAACTTGTAAAAAATTAAAGATCCACCCAAGAACTTTACAATGGTTAGTCAAATATTATGAAATTAGAGATTTGTCTATGGTTTTGGTCTAACTCTAAAAGATCAATTGATTTTTTTCTAATTAAATTCAAGGGTGTGAAATTTTGGATCCTATTCCAGCTTTAGGATGAGGGATATAGCATAAAGAACTCGACTCCTACTTCGAGTTTCTACATAACAGTTTGATGTCTTAGGTTGATTAGATCGGGTACAAGCGCTTAAACGATAGCGACCTAGTTTAAGGTCCATGGTCAGAGCGACCGAAGGCTACAAGGTCGAGCTAAGAGGTAAATGCATGACTTAGGAAAGTAAGTTGGGTCTGACTTGATGTGGGGAAAGTGACGTAGCAAAAACGTATCGACAAGAGGGATTGAGAGAGAACTCTCTCTTTTTTTTTTTTCTTATTACTTAATAAAAATCAACCAACTTTAAAGACAATGAAGTAGGAGTCTTAAATACTTCTCTCAACAGAGCCCTGCCATAACTAAATTACTAACTAATAAAATACTAACATACTTAAATAACAATGAAAGTAAAATTAATAAATAACTAGACTAATAATATATACCAAATGATTATGCATGTCCAGGAAGGCCAACGCAATCTCGTCTCTATCATTTCCGTCCTCATGGAAAAGATTTGCCTTTGAATCTCAAATATTCTCGTCTTTATCAGAATTATCACATGGAAAGACACCAAGTACATGACATTAAACACGTCCGAAGTACGAATATGTGATGTCAAACGAAGGTGATAGGCATTAGGATTGATCTTCTCAACAATCTCGACCGGATAGATTTTACGGACCGACAACTTATTATATTCATAAGCAGATAACAAATCCTTCGTTAAGACAACCCACACAAAATCACTAACCTAAAACTCCACATGGCGACGGTGAGCCTCAACGTGCCGCTTATATGATGCATTAGAGGTGTCCAAGTTCATGCATGTGGCGTCATGTGTCTTTCGCAATGCCTCAATGAAATCCACCATCTGACGATCAACACGGACAGTAGAAGGCAACGCGACAAGGTTTGCTAGGCCGCGAGGATGAACCGCATACACTACTTGAAAAATGGAGAAACAAGTAATCCGACTGATAGCAAAATTATAGGATAACTCAGTCTGATTGAATCTGTTATCTATTATCAATTTTTTTTTAGCCGAGTAGATGGGAAGATCTACCTCGGGTCGTCTTCTCAAGTAAGGTTGTTCGGATCTTCGTTTACTAACTAGTTGTCTAAGCACAAAAAGGAAAAATAAAAAGTCCTAAACATTCTAGCACGATTAGTTGGTTGATTTTAAACTAATTTAACCTAGGAAATTAAGAACAATTACTTAAAGTAAGATGCCAACTTTAACTAAAGATTTAAACTTTACTAGACTGGATTCTCCAAAATTCAACCTAAAACAAAAATAAAGCAAAGAAATATGCAAGTACTGATCCTAGGATGTTAAAACGAGATTTTCTACCGATTAAACTTTAAGCAAAGTCTCAATCTTTAATACTAGATAAGCACACAATTAACTCCTAAATTATCTTAGACTAACAATGAAAACAAAATGATTTAAACTTTAACCCGACTCTCTAACGAGACATCAGTTCTACATTGAAGAAATTCATAAGTAAATACGGAGAAAATATGAAGTAATGAAACTTACAACGAAGTACTCGCTCTTCTACTGCGTGCTCGAAGAAAATCGAAGTGAAAATCTCGAAACTTTACATAAAACGGCATAGCCAAAATAATACGAGTTCTGATGCTCCCAAGAGCATAAACTGTAGAGAAAAACTGAAAAATAGTTAATTCCTAAAGTAGAAAATGAGAAAATAAAGGACTTAATATATTTATACTCACACCCCAACACACAACACACACTAAAAACACGCAGATTAAATGAGTAGAACTCGCTGGGGTGCGGTGAACTCGCGACCTGGTTCACTGGCGAGTGTGGCACGTGCGCCGGCCGAGTGCTGGCAGGAGACTCGCACGGTCACAAGCTTGGACTCGTAGAGCGCAGGAGAACTTTGAAGATCGACTTCAAAATTTGCATTTTGCCTTTTCTCTAACACTACAAACAGTTATCTGTACTGTACTATGTATTATCGAATCATTTGAGGTTTCTATGTATATTTAGGATAGAATTATGTAATCTGAAAATCAATAAATGAAACATATCCATTACATAATTGTTTCAATGCCTATTACTTCCATGTTTGCTTTTCAATGAGGGAACTTGTATGATAAATGTTTAAACAAAAAGCATACAAAAACCATCCTATAATATTTAAACACACAGCAATATATATTAGCATATGACAAATGTTACTTCTCAATATTCACAAAATGCATAATGCAGCAAACACATTTCACTCTTATTAGCCCACATGAATTTCCATTAAAACTCTATAAACCAATTCTTTAGCTACTTAAAAGATGTGTGCAAGCCTACATAGGCTTCAGCAAACTCTCTATACCAAGCTGCAGACAACTTTGGTGTTCTCTTGAGTGTGCCGAAATCAACGTGATGAAGCCCAAATCTTATTGTGTATCCACAAATCCACTCAAAGTTATCGAGCAAAGACCACGCGAAATAGCCTCTCACGTCTGCACCTTTCCTAAGAACAGTTCATATTAAAAAAGAAAAAAAAAAAGAGCTTATTTACAACTTTCGGGATAACAAATATTTTAAACATAAAAAAAGGCGACGTATTTTATAGCACATTTGAGCCAAAAAAAAAAAAAAAAATAAATACCTCATAGCCTTTGCCAATGAATCCGAATAGCTACTCATATACTCCACTCTTTTGATGTCATTTAGAAAGCAACTCATGGATGTATTCGGTTCATTCATCACGCCTAGGCCTGCAAGAATTAATATTATCGCAATTCATTCACAAAAAGAAAAATTAATGAAATTAATCTTCAAAACAGATTTCAAACAGAAAAAAAGATCCAGTTGACCATTTTCCGTGATGAAAATTGGTGTGTTGTTGTATCGACCCTTGACGTACATCACAATCTTCTCCATTCCTTGAGGGTACACAAAAAGCCAATCGAGCGCTGTCTAATAAAGTATTCATCATAATTAAAATGATTATACCAATTACGAAAAAACATACTATTGATTGCAAGAGTTAGTGATGAGTGTTCCTCACAGATTCACCGATAAGTTCACCATCTCTTAAGGCCGTACGAAGATAACAGCCCTCATATTTGGTGACACCTGGCACCTCTGGTTCACAGTACGAGTGTATGCAGTCTTTGCTATAGAAGCTGGTGTAATGGTTGAGGCCAATAAAGTCCAACTTATTATTTCTCAAAATCTCAACATCTTTTTCTGAAAATACAGGCAAATGGGTCCCGAGCATAAGATGCATTTCTTCAGGATATTTTCCGAAGATTATAGCGTCTAAGAACCTGCATTTGAGTCTTTTTTCTCATGATCTCAATACCCCTTATTAACAACTGATTATTAATATTAAGAAAAAAAATGGTAGCCAGATTCAAAAAATGCTCACCAGTTCAAATAGAAAGATTGAGCTCTCTCAGCCGCCAGCCTGTCCTCTGTAGAATTGCTGAAAGGCTCGTACCAAACGGCATTCATTACAATTCCAATACTACCCCTCTGTTCCTTCTGTAACAGTGAACCAATTTTTTATTTTTTTTTTTTTTTCGGCAACTACAGTAAATTTCAACATAATGATAAATAATTATTTCCAATAGTTGAACGTTTATATATACACCTGGTATCGAGTCCGGTAAATTTTAACAGCGCCCGCATGGCACAAAATCATGTTATGTGCCGCAATTAGTGGCTCCTCCTCCGAGTTACCTTTCTTACAGTTACCATATGAACCGGAACATCGAGACGGAGGGTAAATTCCCGAACGGTACCCACGAATTGCCATGACATTAGGCTCGTTTAGGGTCACCCAGTATTTTACCCGGCTGCCGAAATATTTGAAGCATATATCTACATAATGCTCAAAATCATTCCTGTGAAGCAATTGCTTGGCATAATTAGACATAAGTGTCCCGATGATTAGGCAAAAATTAAAAATAAATAAATAAAATTTCCTACAAACCGTATCTCAGGGCTTAGCCATGCCCCGTATCTTTCTTCAAGTTCTTGAGGGATATCGTAATGAGTCAACGTGACAAATGGTTGTATCCCTGCAGTAATTAAAACAGAATGTCTGTAAAAAATTAATGGACAATGAACATTTTTCTCTTCTATAAACATATTTTTTTTTCTGTAAGGCGAAGAAAATAATATTTTATTTCCTCGGAAGTAACCTTTCTGCAAAAGTGCATCAATAAGCTTGCTGTAGTGATCAATCCCTGCAGTATTAACATGTCCAAACCGTCCCTCTGGAAATATACTAGGCCATCAGTCATTTAAAAAAAAAAAAGTTTGAAATTATTTTGTCATGGGAGTGAACAAAATTTGATTTCGAAAATCGAATATTACTGGGAAGAATCCTCGACCATGATATGGAAAACCGGTAGCTATTCACACTAAGATTCTCCATGAGATCAATATCCTCCTGTATAATATATAAAGAAAATTGGCTTCAAATGGGATTGTAAACTGTATAAGATTAACTCAATGTAACTTGTAAGTATCATAATCCTCCAGCTTAAGGACACTACTTCGTAATTTGATGCTAATATTTGTACTGCATTGTACTTAAATAGATATTGTTATATGTGAGGGAAATTTAAAACCTTTATCGAGCAGAGGTGTATTATTATTGTTATTATTATTACCAGATAAAGATGGTAATGATCCACCGCTTTGTCTCCATTGCTCCCATCCAAGATTTTACCTGCCGTAAACCAGTTAAAAAAACCAGAAATTCAGACATGAAAGAAAATGTCAATATTGGTGCACCATGCAAAGAGTTGGAAACAGGAAATGAAAGTGCTATGTTTGTACCACTCTTGTGGGTAAAAATATCCCAGTTACTGAGGCCTTTACCATCAGTAAATACGGCTCCCTCAAACTGAAAAAAGTAAGAGTAACAAACAAAAGAGAAAGGTAAAAACACCAGATAAGCGAGAAGGAAACTTAAGGTTAGATACTCATAGTAAATAGAGATGGTTAAATTCAAATACTTGATAGGAAGATGATGAAGTTCCCACAAGGAAGTTATCGGGAAATGGAAAGGGATATGGACTTTCTGTTAACAGCATTGAGTTTGTATGGCCAAATAACAGAATTAAACTAATAGATATTTTATGAGCGTAAACTTTGGCAAAAAGGGAAAGAAGCCCCATAATGTTCATATTAAGAGAAAAAAAAAACCATCAATTATGTGACACTGTGCTTGGATAGTTGTTCATTTGTTTTTCTATTTTATAGCGCTGATTATGAAAATGCATATATAAACAAACTAAAAGCAAAATTGCTGAATTCCCAAATTTATACATGATCCGTTAACAAATTACAATTCGAAGTATTATAACTGCATGATATAAAATAGATTGCAAAGTTTAAGTTGATAGGAATAAGACGTGCACGATGGAGTTTTTGCATTGTCCAAATACCTTATCTTTGAGCCCGTCAACTTTTAGATGAAGGATAACGAAAAGAACGGTAAAAACAAGAAACAGGATATCAATGCCAGCAGGAAAACAAAGCTTTAACTTGTAGAATACGGAAAGGGAAAAAAATTAGTCTTATTATATGTCATTATAATGGACGGATTTTTCAACGTTATGGCTATGAAATGATGTAAATGACAGTATGGCGATGAAATGATGTAAATGGCACGTCAAACAATATTTATCTGCGTCTCATGGTGATTGAAATAATAACCAAATTGAAATATACAAATGATTCCAAAGAAGATAACTAGATAAGATTTGTATTTTCTTCCTAATGGTGATTGATGCACCATCATTAGTTCTAATGATCCTGATTGAGGTCGTCAAATCAAAAATCGCATCAGGTTGAGAATAATCCTGACTTTAGTAACTCAAACCCACAAAGATGGTTAGTTTAACTAGAGTTAACCTACAGCAGCTCATGAGATGCAAATAGATGCTTTTGGCTGGTGCACATTATCATTCACCAATCAAAATCGGGTTCGAAACATAGCCCCAAGCAGCACAGCAGCATGATAATCAATGTTCAGTAAAATATATAAATAATATGTTACTTCAGATCATGGCTCTTGAAGCTCAAAAAATCCAATGATGTCCTAATAATATCGAACCGAAATCAAACACCATTCCGTTTCCTCACATTTCGGCCATTTTGGAGGCGATTTGGTATGAATATGTTCATGTTTCTCTGGTTAGTCATGATTGATCTCATTGAGATGCGAATCGAAGCTCAACATGCTTTCCCTTTTATGTGCATGAATGATTATATCACTGTTAAAATTATCGACCTAATAAATCACTTGAATTAGAATGTTGCAGACGGCAAGAAATTTGGGGGAAAGCTCCTTAGACCTAATCATTAATTCTTCCAATTAAAGCCATACACATGATGATGATTAAGAACAGAGGTAACCTCACTCAGTGACTGTGACAAGGTATCAAGGGTTGCAATTCAGACAAGCAACAGTAAAAGGGAAAACGACATTAAATCATGAAGAAAGCTACAAAAGCATACCCGAGTTGTCTTGGCGCCACAGACCAATGGTAATGGCAATCGGCAGCACCACCGGACAAAAACACTCACCACCGGTAATGGCAATCTACACTTCTAGGGGCATGTTTGGGGCATGTTTGGTAAGTCAAATAAGTTTGGTAGCTTATAAGCTCTATGTATAAAAATAAGTCTCCTTTGGTAGCTTAATTCATAAGTTACTTTAGGTAGCTTTTCAAATAAGCTAGTTGCATTTTTTATTTTAGCTAGCTTATCAGCTAAATTACCAAATATCTTTTATCATATATATAGTTTTTCAGCTATATGTCATAAGTAATAAGTTATAAGCTCAAAAATTATATATAAGTTATAAGTTAGCTTATCAGGTAGCTTATCAGCTATATGTCATAAGTTATAAACTGATTGTGTAGTGTATATCTATTGTACATTTGAATTTGCTAGTATAATTTTTCAGCAATTTGCCATTACATCTCTTAATCAGGTTTCAGTTTCAGTCCTTCTTATTTTTATTTTTCTAAATATTCATCTTTCCTCTCAGCTACGCTATTATTATTAAGAATTTTATTTAATTTCTTTGTTGACAACCGACCTGGTCAAACCTGAAAATAAGAATGCGAAACCCGTATCAAGCCAAACTCATGGTAACTCGGCTCAGATCGGACATAGAACCGACATCACTTTGTCTGAGGACAACTGACTTCACGAAGAACCAAGATTCCCCTCCAAAACCAACGTGGCGACAAAATCGAGTTCAAAACAGGTGACAAAGCACCTACATGAATTGGTTACGCACCATCCATTTCGTCATCATTTATGCGGGCCCACCCGAAGGAAACCCCCTCATAAAACCACTTTTGCATTAAATGCAGTGGCACACACCTCGAACTACGAGTCAACAAAAGTTACTATAAATAGCTAGAATTATTCTTGTACAAGTATCGAATGATGAACAGTCAATACACATACATACAGACACAACTCGGTTTACACTAAAAACCGACCTCTTGTGTCACGTAAACGCGAAGTATAATACAAATTTCCCGCATTTACATATTAACTACGTGTTAATTGTGTTGTTACAAATCGCACAACAATATTTTGTTATATTAATTAGAAGTGTAAAATAGTTTGGAGTAATGAACAAATTTTGATACATGGGAAATTACTTTCTCCACATATGTGCAAATACTTTATTTCCATATACTATATTAATTTTAATAAGTGTCAATTTACTAAAAATATTACTTAATTTGTAGATTGATTTGACAAATGTCACACTCTCTTATATTTAACGAAATTTACACGTTTTTCTTATTTTTTTTTTTAAAAATTGCGTCAACTTTTCATATATTATCATCATCAATGAATGCATGTCATATCATATAAGAGGTGGACAAATTAACATGTACCGTGAGTAAAGGAGCATTACTATATTATTATACTACTAGTACTAGCACTCTCTCCCCCACCGTTAAAAACGGCCTTAGTTTTATGCAGACTTTCCAATTTTACCCTCAACAATTATTAGATAGATGCAAACGGACTTGTTGGATGTTAACAATATAAATGAGAAGACACTACTCACTCACTCACTATCTTTTTGAAATTAATAAAGTCAATATATATATAAACAAATACATTTCAAATGTTTACATTATTCATATAATTAATTTAATATAATCTATATGCAATAGCAATTCTCCATTTCTATATGCTTTCCACATCATGTAATAAAAACATGAACAGTTTTTGGCTTTTAATAGAGCCTTAAATTCTTCCTAACAGAGTACAATGATTGCACTGAAATTCTGTGATCCCTTTCCATTATAACTCATAAGACATGAAAAGTTTGCATAAACTTTACACAGTTGTTAAAATATACCATACATTTCTCTAAATTGTATATTTAATCATGCAATCTTATAATCAAATTAGCTGCTATATCATGGTAGCTTCTGCAAGATGTGTTGGAATATCACTTGTGAATTGTCCCACATTGATTTTATAGGGAAAATGAGTTTAGTATATAATCTTAGTCGGCTACTCCTCCTATCACTAATTAGTTTTGGTATGGAACCTCACTAAAGTACATTTAGACTCACTTTCTTATGGTGCTGGTGCGCTTCACCTGGTGGGACCGCACTCGATTCAGTAAATATAATAAGATGCTTTCGGGGCTAGCTAGCTTTTCACCTATCATATTTGAGTTACATTCGTGAAACAGGCTCTATGGGTTGCAAACTGATTTAGCGGACCAGGAGCAACTCCCGCTTGAGTCAAGCTCGAGCACTTCAACTTTGAACTCAAGCTCAAGTTTGGGCAATGTTATTTATATGCTCGAGCGTTCAATAAAAACTGGCAGAATATACGTAAAATTACCTAAATACCCCTAACTAGAAAGATCAAAATTAATTTGGAGTCGAATAAATTCGAGCCGGTGTCGAACATTCACTACAAGAAATTTTTTGAAATTCCAACGGAAATATATTCCAATAGAATTATTCCAACGGATATTTCAATACAAGTATTTCCGTTGGAATTTTTCAATGGTTTCTAATGGAAATTCTAACAAAAATATTCCGTTAGAATGGGTTTTCCATTGGAATTTTCGTTGGATTTTGACGATTCCAACGGCAGATTTTCCAACGGGGTTGGAAGAAAAAATTTCAACGGAAATTGTATATTCCAACGGAAATTCCTACGGTAAAAAACTGTTGGAAATATAGCCGTTGGAATCATCAAATTCCATCTAAAATTCCAATGAAAAACACATTCCAACGGAATATTTCTATTGGAATTTTCATTGGAACCATTCCAACGGGAACTATAACTATACCACTGGAATATCCGTTGGAATTTCCATTAGATTATATTACTATAGGATTTTCTGTTGAAATATAACAATTTTTTTGTAGTGATTTGTGTTTTTATTTTTATTTTTTTGAGTCAAGCCAAGCCTTAAACGAGCTTGACTAATTGTAAAATATGTCGAGCCTAGCTAGATAGATTAATCCAATGCTCGACTCAGCTTAACTTGCTTGCAACCAACACTTCAAATTAGGACAGTATAAAATCTAGCTAGTAGCTAGCATTGTGATTCCATTTTTCATATAAATGCCACTTAAAAAAATAAAATAAAAAAAAAAAAACCGAGAAAACTTTTAAATTTTTGGTTGATAGAAAAATTTATTACGAGAGGATTTTCTAGTCATATAAGAGATGTGGTGACATAATGGTTTTAATTACATGTATCTATCGGTATCTCAGAAAATAAATGGCTGCTGCAAGTTATCGCAGCAACAACAGCACGTCGTCCCCCTGTGTGCATCTATGTATGCATCTATGTATCTCATTTTTCGGACGTCATCAAGCGCACCGGGACACAGTGACTTTAAATAACTTCAGTGCCAGGCATCATGTAATCAGAATTATTTACCAATTAACCGAGGCTATCGACTTATAATAAATCAGTCTCGTTCTTCGGCTGTAGTCGACTAGTTCGGTAGCAAATATTTTTACTCAAGCTAACCGGACTGGTCCATTCGACAGGACTGTCCGGATCGGTCCGATTTTGAAAACTATGGCAATCATGAATATTGTTAATTCGTTTATTAAATTCAAATTAAAATCCAAGAAAAGTGCGAAAACAAAACACGATTTCATCTTCTCAGTAATTAATGAAGTTTTTTATGGGGTCGTCCACTGAAAGGTAAAATGCAAACAAAAAAAAAAAAAAAA